TCCAGGGGAGGTTTAGATTGGATATTAGGGAAAATTTCTTCACTGAAAGGACTGTCAGGCATTGGAAGGGGCTGCCCAGGGAAGTGGTGGAGTCTCCATCCCTGGAGGTGTTCAAGGGGCTTGTAGACATGGGGCTTGAGGACATCGTCTGGTGGGTGTGGGGGTGTTGGGTTGATGGTTGGACTGGATGGTCTAAAGGTCTTTTCCAACCCTAGTGATTCTGTGATTTTATGTCAGTGTATGAGAATCTGGGTGCAAGAGCATTGTACAGAGAACACTGGTAGGAGATGTATTTTGGAAGAACTAGGTGCATGGTAGCATGATACAAACCCTCGGCTTTATGAGTTCACATCTGGGCTGTGTGAGTTTGACACTTTGTGAGCAAAAGCCACCATTGCAATGTCAAGCTTATGCTGTCTGGGTTTGTTAAACATGATAAAATTACTCTTCTTAAGAGTGAGGCAAATTCTTATTTCCCAATTCCTCAATGAAAAAATTATTAGCATTAAATAAGCATTCTGTACAATATATTAAATTATTCTATTGTACTTAATATAATTTCTGGTAGTGTCCATTTTAATGTGAAAATGATACTGGTTTTACAATGTAAGCAAAGAAACCAAAGACTGAATGAGCCTAAAATTTAACAAGCCTGGAGCCAAACTACTCTCTCCAATATCAGTTAGCTTTTCAAATGTTTCTGCAAGCTCGCATTGCTTATAATTGTGCTTCTCCTGTTTATGCATTGTTATTTCCAAAGTCATTGATGTGTGCTCAAAAATATTTTTGAAAGGGGGAAAAAAATCAAATTGCGCTTCTTTATAGTCTTAATTTTTTTCCATTTTAATATTCATTTTGCCACAGCAGAAAACAAACAGCAGCTGAGAACTGGGGGAAGACCAAGAAGGTGAGAGAAATGTGTGGGGTTTTTTTCTGGGCAGAAAGTTTTCCTATAAAAAGCAATATGCAACGTGGTTAAAATGATGTTGTCATATTTTAGGAATACTAAAGCCTAGAGTCACACTGATGACTGCATGGTGCATTTTTCTGTATCTTTTAGAGGAAAACAGGGACTTATTTCCCAAATGGAGATACAGACAATTTAACAAGCTTCTGCAGTGTGGGGAGGGCAGGGAGGTGTGTTTGGAAGCGGTGAGCATTGAACTTTGCTGTGATTGAAGCTGATGCCTTAACTTCAGTGAGAGCAAAGTTAGCCCAAAACTGATTTATCTGAAAACTCTGCCTTTCAATCTTTTCGTATTTTGAAGGAAAAAAAAGAAGTTGTGAAACCCTTTCAAGATACTGTTTTTTTAATTTTAGGGCAGCAAGCTCTTCTCAGAATCTCCCCAGGCTCAAACAGCAGACAGGGCAACAACCGTTGTCAAAAACTTCACCTGGGAGTGCTACAGAACTTAAATCACCCACGAAGGAAAGCCCCAAACAGGTTTAAACGTGCTTTACCTAGGCAGCATTACAGTTGAAATTAATGGGGTTTTATTTTGAGAGGTGGTAGGGGTATGTGAGTTAAACAGTAATTCATAGAATCATAGAATTTAAGCATAATTTAAGAATTACAGATGCAAAACTTAAGGAGAATATGCTTTCTGGCTGTGAGTTGGGGAGCAAGTCACAGTCAAAAATGAAAGAACAGGACTCATACAATCCAACCTATACTGAAAGCAGCCAGAGTTTTCCTACTAGTAACCGTGGATTCATCTTTAGTGACAGAAAGACAAACCAAGCAGAAAGTCTGCTGTCAGTTGTAAGCATCCTCATAGGGCACAAGGTGTTTGAGATTGGGGGAGTGATTTGGCTCTGTAATTCTCAGTTTAGGGAGTCCCATTTTGATAAAATTGCTGTGAAAATTCCTTTATTACCATCCCTTAGAGAGGATGGAGCAGGAACAGAAGGATGGTGGTCAAGCACCATGTCTGTTAGAGCTTTTGAGGAACTGGGTGAAGGAAAGCCTCTTTTGTTCAGATTTTACAGCAATAACTGCTGTAAAGTCAATGTCCAAGTCATTTATAATCCTAAAATGGCTTTTTATTTCTAGGCTGACATGCTGTGCCTTCTACTTGCCCGTTTTCACTGTTCATAAGTGTTTCTTCCCATAGCTACATAAAATGCAGATTTCTGCAACTTAAAATGGAAGCTCTGTGTATGAAATAACTTGAGTGCTGAGCTCTAGTGCCACGGCCCCTGCTGTCACCAGTCACGGCGTCATAGAACGGTTTAGGTTGGAAGGGACCCTAAAGATCATCTAGATGAAGTCTAACTGAACATACAGTGCTGTTTGTCTGACGAACGTGGGATTACTCTTGTAACTTCCACGTAATGGAACAGTTCCGTCTCGGCATGTACGAAGAGGTGGGATGATACTTATAATGGAGTATCTGCAGCTCATCTACTTGGCAACACATCTGTTTTAAAATGGATTTTTCTGTAGAATAATGACAGTGCGGTTACTCTGGAACAATCTGACTTTGGCTTAAGCATCTCAGCAATCAACAGAAGTGGAGGAGACAGCACTCACACAAGAAGGGTTGGTGGAAACCTAGTGTATGATTTATGATAGAAACGTGTGTAGAAAAAACACATCAATGTTTTTTACAAATAGCAAATGCGATCTTTTTGTGTCTCTTTTTGTATAAAATGTTCCTGTAGAATTAACTGAAGGATCAGTTTTATGATTTGGGCAGTAATTCTTTGCATAGAAAGCTCTGCTTACATTAAATAGTACTCGAAACGTTGTCAAGAAGGAAGAATATTTCTGTTTTTGAAAACCAGTGGTAATAGCTAAATTTGGAGATAACTTTCAAATTCTTGAATGAGATGATAAGAGGATCTGCGGTTGAATTGTTGCGGTGACTGAGATGTGCGTCCATTTCCCATTGTCACCACAGATTCTGTGGGCAGTTTTTTGCCATATTTAGGACTGTATGTGCAGTCAGGAAACTCACTGCTGTAATGGCAATAAAATTCAGCCCGATGCAGTTTTAACAGCAGAGTCACCATCATGATGAAGTCTATCATGACATTATTTCTCCTTTAGGGCCAAGTAACTGACTTCCATGGGATGATTCGGGATGCTGTCAAAGTATCGTCAAATGGAACAGCCCTGAACAGCCTTAATTGTGATCCAGATCCATCCGTAAGTGTTTCTGTTCCTGTTTACATCTGGCAAATATGAACATCATAGAATCACAGAATCACAGAACGGTTTGGGTTGGAAGGGACCTTAAAAGATCATCCACTTCCAACACCCCTGCCATGGGCAGGGACACCAGTTCAACCACTAACAAAAAAAAATACTGCAATGACGTTGTCTTTGTTCCCAAGTACTAAAAAAGGGTTTAGATTTCTAAGTGGCACATTTACTTCTTGAATGGACAGTTTTACTTCATACTGGTGTAATCTGTTGACAGTTGTTTACTCTTTGAAGAATAGAGTGGTAGTTGAAAGTAGGCAACAAATACAAATGAAACCTTATGAGTCACCGAAAAAAAGTTGCAGAAACTTACAGAAGTTCTGGGGGTGAAATTCTGGTTCCTTCGAATTCAGTATGTTATTTAGTGTTCACCTCAGCTGAGACAAGAACAGAGTTTGGATGGCTGAGAGAAATTTTCAGTAATGACCCCCTGACACAAGCCATAGCTTCTCAGACACTGCAGCCAACCTACTGTGTGCCAGTCTGCCTGGCAACTGCTGCACTTGAAGAGACTTTCAAAACAGAGAATGTGACAACGCAGTGACCCATAGTTACATTTTTCATTCCTCTTAATCTATGTAGGGCAGGTTTAGGGACTACATGTGCTCCGTTTAGTGTTAATTCAGGATTAGATTTGGTCAGATGAACAGAGTAGTTATTGCAAATATGGCTTACTTCAAAATCTTTATTAATATCCATATTTATACACTTTTAAAAGTTGATATTATGATGATGTATCAGCTTTTTTTGAAACTATTCCATAGGTTGTCTGTTTAAGATTAATTGAAGTCTGAGGAGAATTTATGTTTGTCTTTTTTAGGAAAGATTATTGAAACCCCTTAGTGCTTTTATTGGCATGACTGGTGAGATGAAAGAACTTGCAACAGTTGTAAGCAAAGTAAGATTGGATTTCCATTTCGGTTGCACAGAGATCTTGGTTATCTTTGTCATCTGAGAATGCTGTTTGTTTCTTTTTACTGTCGCTGATACTGCTCATACTTGAACGCACAAGCTATTTGTCTTACCATGTGACTCCCAACAAGTAATTTCTTTACATCTAATGATGTTTCTTTACATCTTATCTTTGTAGGATGCACAATGGGAGGAAGTAATTAAGACCAATTCTTTCTAATGGGGAACATGTAATCTAATCAAGCTGTGCTCATGAGACACTCACAGCTTTTCCCTTTGTTCTTATTTCTACAGAAAATGTACAACACTATTGAAAAGAGAGATTTAAATATATTAGATAATACCAACTATTATCTAATGTATTACCTACTTCTGATCAAATGGTGGGAAAAACCCTGATTAACTCCGTGGGTGCAGCTGCCATTCAAGGCATTGGGCTGTATTCAGCGTGGACGGTGCACCAGTGTGGCACCAATATCCTGAGTCTGAGTGTATCTACTAGATACTGTGTGCCAGAATTATTAAACCCTGATATTCCCAAACTGTTTACAGTAGTGGTCCTGTGCCTTGCTTTGTGCTGCCTGCATCATCTGGACTTCTTGTCTTTTCTCACTCGGTGCAGCTGAGAGATGCTATCTGTGACACAGGCTTTGCAAGCAGTGCCCTTCCCTCTTCCCAGCACAGGAGCTGCATGAGCAGCATCAGTAACCCACTGTACCCCAGGGCAGACCAGGGATTCTTCCAGGACGGGCAGTTTGGCACCTGGAGGGAATCCCAATAGTGTCAACACCATGTAATTTCACTCCTGGGATGAGGTGCAGCCTAGGAAACGGGCACCTGGCCACTGGGGATCAGTGGCTACAAGGCAGGTCAATGCTGTATGTGCATCACCGTCCAAACCCCACGAGGCACTTGTCCCAAAGGCTTCATAGTATCACAGTATTTGAGAGTGTTGAGACTCTTCCTGGACATAAGCATCAAAATGGCATGAGCTGTTGCTCCTGCATACTTAAAACCACCTGTTTAAAATCCTGGAAGACTTTTGCTGACTAATTTTTATAGCTGTGTATGACCCAAATTCTTGGTCTGCAAGTTTTGCTGAAAATGCAAAAACTAAAATGAAAATGTTGAGTAGAACTAAAGTCTAAGAAATTTCCAACCTTCAAGTAAGAAAAATCTCATTCATTTCAATTCCTGTCTGGTTTCTAATTTATGGTAAACCTTTAACATAGTGTTCTTGTTGCTAATTTAGCAAAAAACAATAGGGCTGTTTTAACCCTTGTTATGGTATGTTATTTAAATTGTGCTGGTATGTTCCTAGTTGCTATGGTGATCAACACTGTGTAAATCAATAAAAATAAATAGCATGTGGTATCTATTTCACAACACAATCTAATTTAATTTGGAAACAGTTATAGAAGTCTCTACCTAGTATCATAAATCTGATTCATCTTAATTTGCTGTTAATAGAAAGGGAAAGTGTAATCTATATAAATAATTTTTCTAATTGTATTAAATCAAATTTTCCCCTCGGATATAAGCATGTAATTTTTCTTCAGCCTCTGGGGACTGCCTGTTTTTTACTGGAGAGCAGAATTTATCCCAAGTATTTGTATTAAGGATATGATATTTTCTGCAGAATGATTAGTCTCTGGAATGCAAAGCCACAAAATATTACTATGACAAATGGTAAGATTTGTAGAAAATTTGGAAAGTTTGATGAATTAAATGAAATTAATTCAGTGAATGCTACGGGGCAGGGACTAATTAACGACTATCTTTTGATAGCTGCCTAGGGGACAATTTTCCTCCTGTTACAGTTTCTTGCACCTTTTCTTGCAGTATGTAAAATCTTGCATAGTGTGGAGCAAATAGCATTTTTTCACTGTGACTTATAAGTAATAATGTAAGTAATAGGTGCAGCCATAAAGTTACTGAGCATCAAGTTTAAAGCAAACTGAAGTATTTTCAGGTGGCATGTGATTAAACTGTGGAACTCCTTAGTGTGGAATAAGCACATTCAGGAAAGCGGTAAGAGAAATTCACTGAGAAATGAATGTCAAAAGGTGTTTGAATTCAAAGACTAAGATGTAATTATTGAAGTCCTTTGGGTGCAGATTTTGGTGGATGGAAATATGAGTCAACATGTCACTCCTATTGCTTATACTTTTTGAATATCCAATACTTGCCAACATCAGAGACAAAATATTAAGTCTGTTGATCCTTCATACTGTGATAGCTCTTCATGGACTAGCTGGTTACTAAAACCAACAGATCTGCTTCTCAGATCTGCTCAGCCTATACATTTGGCTGTGTATATGCTCTTAGGGAACCTAGGGGCTTGAGGGGAGGCAATCATAGAATCACAGAAGGGTTTGGGTGGGAAGGGACCTTAAAGCCCACCCAGTCCCACCCCCTGCCATGGGCAGGGACACCTTCCACTAGACCAGGTTGCTCCCAGCCTCATCCAGCCTGGCCTTGGACACTCCCAGGGATGGGGCATCCACAGCTTCTCTGGGCAACCTGTAGCTGCTCTGCAGAAATGATTGCTGCGTATGCTTTCCTCTTGGGAAGTCCCGGGTACATCGGGCTAAATAATACAGTTTGTATCACTTCACAGCACTCTCATAACTGAGTCAATTCTTTTATTTTGCCAGAGGCCATTATCCCAGTGCAGAAGTTATACTAACAGGATGCAATGTATGTTGCAGGACATTTATCTCCATAATCCAAACGTGAAGTGGGATGATATTATTGGGCTGGATGCGGCTAAAAGGCTCGTCAAGGAAGCAGTTGTTTATCCCATACGGGTAAGGCACTAAATAGTTTTGAGAAAACCAGTGTTGGGCTCGTTAGCATTTTCCTTGTAATTACAGTGGTGTGTTAGAGTTCTCACTATTTCTGTGCTTCTGTAGGCAGATGATGTTAGAACTATTCCTGCTTCTGTTTCATCTGGCAATGGCATACACCTTTCCCTATAGGAAAACGGCCTTTCAGTCTTAGAATTCTAAGTGTTGGGTCCTATTCTTTGGCACCTTTGGCAATGTAAGAGGTGCTGTATTTTGGCCTATATTAATTCAGTGGAAAATGACTTAGAGAAGAAAGAATTGCATTTGAAGGTTTCACTTAAAACAGATTTCAAATTATATAGTATTTTTCTCAGTACTCATATATTGTTTTGGAGGGGTTTTATCCCCCTGTCTTCAAATTTCTTAGGTTTCCTGAATGGATTAGGAGCAGTGGGGGTAGAATCCCTTGCATTTTGTTATAGATGGCACGTTTTTAATCCCTGAATTACTTTTTGGTTTCCTCAGTACCCTCAGCTGTTCACTGGCATTCTGTCTCCTTGGAAAGGATTATTGTTGTATGGACCTCCAGGTATGAAATCTTTATAGCATATCCATATGTTTATCATTACTTCCGGTTTCGTCCCACAGAAAAATCATTGGTGGTAATTAGATTGAATGTGTTAATAAGGAACATGATCTGTAATGAGAAATAGGAAACAATGGTGGATGATTACGTCTGTCTCTCACACTGAAACCTGTCCATCTGCCTTTCTCCTAACTCTTGACTGTTTCTACACCCGACTCTTCCAAAACCCAGGACTTACACTAACCATTCAAAGGTGTGAGAACTCCTATCTGTTTTTACAGATCTATGGCTTGGGCCATAGAAATCAAATTTGGCTTGGCCTGATCTTACAAAATGTGAATAAACTTGTTGTGGACTCACCTTCTTAAGGAAAATATCCTTCTGCATTTGTGGGTTGTTTTGGAAATGGGGGGGAAGCCTTGCCCCTTGTGAATGTTTAGATGTACTTGCCACATAAGGCATCTGACCATTTCAGAATCTGAGGAATGCATTTGTAGTGCTGTGTTACCTGAGTTTCTCCGGACGATCCTGGAGGGTCCACAGAAATGCTCCGAGGGCTGGAGCCCCTCTGCCCTGGGGACAGCTCCAAGGCTGGGAGAGTTGGGGGTGTTCAGCCAGCAGGAGAGAAAGGGCCTGGGAGAGAGCCCCTTTGAGCACTTAAAAGGGGCTGATAAGAAAAACGGGGACGGACTTTTTAGCAGGGCCTGTAGCGATATGACAAGGGGTAATGGTTTTCAACTGAAAGAGGGGAGATTCAGAGTAAATACAAGGAAGAAATGTTTTACGATGGGGGTGATGAGGCACTGGGACAGGTTGCCCAGAGAAGCTGTGGATGTCCCATCTCTGGAAGTGTCCAAGGCCAGGCTGGATGAGGCTTGGAGCAACCTGGTCTAGTGGAAGGTGTTCCTGCCCATGGCAGGCGGTGGGACCAGAAGATCTCTCAAGGTCCCTTCCCATCCAAACCACTGTATGGCTCTATTTTAGTGTTTGTTTCTACCTGATATCAGGATGAGGGGAATTATTCATAAATTTGCACTGTGTTTCTTTAGAGTGAATTTCTTCAACGGTATTGTTTGTAGGTACTGGAAAAACTTTGCTTGCTAAGGCTGTTGCCACAGAATGCAATACAACCTTTTTCAACATATCAGCATCCACCATTGTCAGCAAATGGAGGGGTGATTCAGAAAAACTTGTTCGGGTAAGAATTATTATCTCACTCATTATACTGTAACAATCACCAGGTTCCCACTCCACAAACTGGAGTTTAACACAGAAGTGCCACATGAGTATTCCTCTGATACTCATTATCTTTCCTGTCTTGGACAAACAATGCCACACTGTCCATATTTAGTTCTTAAAATGGGAATAACGCCACTTCTGCATAAGCCTCTCAATAGATTCTTGCGGTGGAATTTAAGTTCTGTAATGTAAGATGAAGCAGATGTCCTGAAGGCAGCAAAGCTTTTTGACTTGCTGAATGAGAGACAGGCAAACAGAGTTCCTAACTAAAATACTGTTTGCTTAGTGACCCCTTCAGAGCCCTTTACATCCTTTCTGCGAGGCGAGGCTCCTAGGTTCCCTACAAAATGTTATTTAGATTCCCAAATTCCCTACTACTCTTAGTCTTCAGGGCACAGAATTGGCAAAGAATTCCCTCGTCACAAAGACCTTGGAGTCAAACACAGATGTAACATTGTTTTAAGGAAGGTAGTTTGATGGTAAATGTGTTTTTGCATCTAGACTAGCAAGTGCCATGCATGGCTCAACTGTGGTGCAAAAACGTTCCGGGATTCAGGTGTAGCATCCTTGCCCTAAAGATGCCCATCCTAATCTCTCCATAATGTCCACTATTTCAGTGTAAGGATTCCACAAGCTCTTAGCCTTCCTTTACACTCAGCCCTTAGGTAACACTTTGGATAGACATGGAGCTCTTGAAAATTAATAATTGTCTCTGACTGCACCCAGCAAATGGCTTTGGAAGCATTGTTAGTATCTCTTAAAATCTAGGCAACGTCTGCAGCACAAGTATCCGTCCTTCATGTCTCTTTTGCCCTTTACATTGGCACATTTTTCTTCTGGTATTCACCTCCTATGGCATTGACCCTCTTGAGATCTGTAGCTTCATAGAAGTTTTCCTTCTGGCAGGAGTAGGGATGGGAACGTCTGGTTTTTTACACCACTGTCTAGAGGGGTTTTGTGAAATTTTTCTGCAGATTCTGCAGAATTTGCTGCAGCAATCTGCAATGATACTGAATTGGTGTGTTATTTCATGCTTAGTTGAGTTTTTGGCCGAAACCAGAAGTGAAATAAGATTGTGGATTGGGACAGCTCTAAGAAAAGTATTGCATGAATTTATATCCTAAAATCACATGAGGCTGGTGCAGGACTTTTTGAAGTGTGAGGTGTATGTGGGTTTTGTGCTCCCTCGGACGAATGTCCGCTCATCCAGTTCTCAGCCGTGTGGGTGTGATTTTATATCCTGTAGTAAAACTGTGGGCTGCGAACTGTCAGCACCTTTTGCATGAGAGCAGTGATAGTGGATGCATAACAGATATGGTATCCTAGCATCCAGAGTTTATTTCCACCATCTTGGAAAAGCCGCTTACACGGCAAGAGTATGATGTAACCCAATATTCTACTTGCAAACTTTTGCCTCCTTGAGCAGTGCAAATTACAATGCTGGCCATGCACTACCTGGGCAAGGAATTTAAACTCTGTGCTTCATACCCAAAGAAAATAATGTATTTTTTTAAATGTTTTTTGTAAGTGTTCAGATTACAAAATGCTGGATTAATATATATTGTTAGTGATATTTATTTAAAAACTCAAAAGAACGCTTCCCAGAAGAAGAACTGGCAATATGTTGTTACTGTTCGTGTAAGCCTCTCCATTTTTACAGAAAAATAGATGAGACTTCTTTCTCCAAAGGGCAGACCCAGACATTTTTTTTGGTCAGCTTAATATTCCATTTTTAAATCTTGGTTGTTCAAGCAGTTTATGTTCTTTCATTGTGGTTCAAATGACTTTTAATTTTTTTTCCCTCAAGTCCTTATTTAAAAAAAAAACCTACAAATGGAGCAACAGCAAGAGACAGATTTTTAATCTCTGAGAACAGTTTAGGAGTTCCCAGAATCCTCTGATGGATCATTTTCTTCTATCCCATTATTTGCAGGGTACTCTGATAGGATTTAGCCAGACAGATTTACGTGCAATGGCAGGATTACAAAGCTGTGCTTCTTATATCTCCTTTACAAACCTTTCAGAATTTGAGAGGATTCGGGGACCCTCAGCCTAGCCAGAGCTTCCTCCCCCCAGATTCTCCCTTTTTTTCCTAGAAGTTTGGAATCTGGCTACTGTTATCTTCTCAGCCAGTGGCCGTTGATGCCTTTTTCTGTTAGTTTTCTCGTTAATCTTTTCTGTTGTGTTCACTTTTCTCTCTAAACAGGTGTTATTTGAGCTTGCCCGGTACCATGCTCCTTCCACAATTTTCTTGGATGAGCTGGAGTCAGTTATGAGTCAAAGAGGCACTGCTGCAGGGTAACTGATGAGACCGCTTCCTATGGCTCCAGGAGAATATTTGTTCCCCTTTCACTGCATCTTTTCGGTATCACGTGCGCGTGTTCAGGTGCTGACCGGTGTTCAGTGTTCCCGCTAGGAACGAGTCCCGGCTAAACCAAAGCCTAACGCTACTCCATAAACCGCAGCAGGAGCATGGCTCGGCCCCTGAAAGACTCGTTTAGATTTTTGTTGATGTTATAATTACTTGGAACCATAATGGTAACTTTCTTGGGTTTTTACTAAGCTTTTGTTCTGTTGTCAACTTCAGGAGCTTCGTAGCGTGTTGTTATCAAAATGCCTATCTTCTCCGAAAGCACCGCTTCAGGGAAGTGTTGCGAACGCTGCGGGGGGGATTCGAAGAGCGAGGTGTAGTGGCTGTTTCCTTCACGGTAGATGAAACCGGTAGAGAAGCAAGCGTGGGAGACAGGCTGTCTGAAGAGTAGCAAGGGACTATGGGTCCAGCAAGACTGTGAGAAGGAGGAGGTGCAGGAGTGTATAAACCGGTGGTGCTGTACTTTAAAATAAGGGATTTGAAGTGGAAATAAAGGCAGTGGGGACGAGACAACAGGTGACTTGGTAGAGGCAAGTAAGAAGCAGGTGATTTTGTGGCACTTCGGACAGACTTAGGCGTCGGAGGGTAAACGGAGTGTACACGGTGGAGTGGCATTTTCATTAATGGGACAAATTTTAGTGGCCTTGTCAGGACTTCCAGACGCAGGAACGAGAGGATGTGATTACTGTCATCCATGGTGTGGACACTTTATAGCTGAGGACAGAATGAAAAGGTTAGGGATGGGCTAGAAGCAGGAGAAATATAAAAATATTGTTATAACCATTAGGAGCCCGTTTACAGTGGGGTTTATGTGCCGTAAGTTATGTGCTCACGAAGATTTATAAATGGAGTATGCCATATCGTAAACTTGTCATAATTGTCAGTTAATAGCTATAAATTATGGGGCGAATTTTGCCTCCATATATACTTTTAAAAGCTCATGTTAACATCACTGGATTATATATTTTAATCAGGATTTTTATCTAAGATTATGTAGTTATTTTTACGTACCCTTATAAAATATTGACTTGGCACTGATGCAGCGATGCCTTTGCAGAAATAAGCCATTAAACCTGAATTGTAGCTCTTACCATCTAAGGCACTGATGTTTTTCTCTGGGTTTGATCCAGGAGTTTCCAAGAACTCCACATCTGGGACCAAGAGTTCAAATTAGTTTCCTGCAAAATTGGTTACCTGGATCAGGGCCAGAATTCTTAGCACTTTGCTTAAGTTCTCCTTCTCTTTTTGAGGAAGGATCCTTTCTGTGTGGTCTCTGCCCCATTTTTAAATTCATTTAAGGCACTGATGTTTTTCTCTGGGTTTGATCCAGGAGTTTCCAAGAACTCCACATCTGGGACCAAGAGTTCAAATTAGTTTCCTGCAAAATTGGTTACCTGGATCAGGGCCAGAATTCTTAGCACTTTGCTTAAGTTCTCCTTCTCTTTTTGAGGAAGGATCCTTTCTGTGTGGTCTCTGCCCCATTTTTAAATTCATTTCAGCAGGACTTTTGACGGAGCATATTGCAGAATACTGAATTCAGTAGTAGGTGTATGTTGTGGTCACCTAAGGTTCACTCACGGAAAAAGGCCATTAGTTACCCCAAACAGGCAGGTGTGTTAGTTATTTGATGGCAACCATCACAGTATAAAAATTCTCTTCTACAGATCAATCAATCAACGCCTTAGGTCTTTTCTGGTAAACATCAACGTTGCATGCAGATTGATATGATGAAAAAAAAAAAAGATTTTTTGGATTCAGTAATAGTGAATTCTCCTCACTTTAATGCATTGAAAAGAGTCCATTTAAGTAACCATTAGAAAGCTTGATTTTAATGCTTAGATGTCAGCTAATGGAGCTTAATCATGGTTTGAACCAGGGCAAAACTGTGACAAGGGCTCAGTTGCTGTGAATGACACTGTATAAATAAAGATGATTACTTTAATGCACTGAGCAAACCATATTTCTCTGAATCTTGGTAGAGGTGAACATGAAGGAAGTCGGCGGATGAAAACAGAATTACTGGTGCAGATGGATGGCTTGGCCCGATCTGATGATCTTGTATTTGTTTTAGCAGCTTCCAATCTGCCATGGTAAGAGATCCAGAGAGTACATTTTGAATACATTTGCATGAGCTTCTAAGCACAGATAAAGATTTTATTTAGACTTCTGCAGAAAAGCCTTGATATTTGGTTAAAGCATTTAAAGATTAATTTGGAGCTTTTACTTTTAAACTCTACCACTCTTGCTATTTGTGCCACATGAGAATAATCCATAATAAAGTCAACATATGCTGGTGCTACCAGCTGCTAATATTTAAAATGGAGTATTTGACTTTACAGGCAAGTTATTTACTATGTTTAAGCTAAGAAGGGTTTCAGCCTGGAACTGTAAGGTGCTTAAAACATCTAGTGCTTAGAAGGATACTCCATAAATAGGAATGTTGGATTTTGTTGGTATCAAACGTGATTTTTAAAAAGTTGAGGGACAAAATTCTTCAGTTTCTTCAACATAAGTTAAAATAGAAGAATAAATGGTTTCAGATTGAAACTAGGACACCTCACGTTGGTTCTTAAAATGGGCGGGGGACACGTTGAGAACCAGACAGCTTGGTGAGGATGAGGCAGGGAGGTAACATTTGTCGGGTGGACAGAAGGGTGGATGCTGGGAGGAGTGTGAGAGACAGCAGGAAACGCCCCCCTCGTGCTCTCCCTGAACAGCATCTCCCGCGGCTGCTGTCAGAGCCAGCAGGTCGATCTGGCTTGAGCATTCATCCAAACTAGTGTAGTGTATCTTCTTATTTCATACAAACCATTATCAAACGGTTGCAGGTAGTCCATGGGGAAAGGTATGACTGTTGTGAAGCACAGTTACTTCTTACAGTCTGATCTGTAGCACACTAACCACATTCAGGAGTGGAAGCCAACACTCGTGCAGGGAATTGAAGCGCGTTGGTGATGGACCTGGTTTTGAAGTTAGTTTTCATAGGTCTGGAACTAACCTGGGGATTTCTGCCTGGCCCAAGATTCCCCCTGTCCCTGGGCTAGTGTTCCAT